AAAAAAGAGTTTATAGTTACTTCCACATACATAACCAAAATTAATGTTAAAGCCTCCATAGACATTAAACCATTACATGCTTATTAATTCAACACCATAATCTGCCCCAACTACACGCAAAACCCTACAGATATTGCTTATATTCTGAAATTACATAAAGATTATCCAAAAAGCATACAAAAATAGCTGGAGAGTACATTATAATTTAGCATAACCATTTCCTATGAGCAGCAAAAAATCTTCTGGGGCAGAATTATTGCAACTCCAACTGTTATACATACACACCTGCATAACAGAAGGCAAAAAAAAAAAAGAACAATCTTAGATCAACTGTATAACTTTCTGGGTTTGATTTAACACATTACGAACAAAGAAAAAAAAAAACTTGCCTATTTACAGGAATAGCTATAACTTTCCCCTGGAGAGCTTAGGAGTCACTTTCAATGTGATATCACCGTAAGGAGTCTCTTGACGTGCATCTACGAGCCCATGAGTTTTCAAGACCTGCAAAGTTATAAAAACCTCAGATCAATAACAAAACCTGTTCTTGAAGCTAAGTCTAATTGATTTTTTTTTTTAAACCACAGTGTAATTGTTATAAAACCTCTTATCAACATTGGATTTTCACTTTTAAACATATTGTGTGAATATGCTTTTCTAAAATAATACGTGATCAAGAAGCATACTGAAGCCGCTGCTCATAATATCAATTATTCAAATGTTGTTTATATGCAGTTGTTTCGAAAAGGGAGGCATTTAGCACTTACCAAAGTCTCAAAGAACATTCGGGCACATACTTTTCTAGGCTTGCCTTCAAGAATCTTGTTCAAACTCAATTCTTCGGGTTGTTCATCTGTATTTGCTGGGATAGGGCTTACCGATGACTGCCTTTGCAAATACTGGGCCACGGCCCTACAAGACAATCGAACATAAAAGATCAAATACAAGATTGATTAGAGGAAGTTTACAATGTAATATATATAGGATATTTACCTTGTTCGTGAAGACAATGCCTGCAGCTCTGGAGTTCCTTGATTCTGTTGAAAGTTTCTAACTTTGGGTGTTCCTTGCGATTCTATTTGAATTAAATGTAAGAAAAGTCATGCATTAGCCATCAATTGTTGAAGAATAATTTTCATAAAGAAAAGACCATGTCACAAATTATGCACATATTACCAGCTGGAGAATTGTCATCTTGTTCGAGAAATCCAAGCTCCTGTAAGAGAAGAAAAGGAAGCAGCATATAAGCAGCATATAAGAGAAAATAGACATACAAAGCACTATAGAAGGAAGCAAAAGATGAATAAACAAACAACCTTTGATGATAAAAGTTGTTTATTAAACAGCAACAAAAACAATTGCAGATTAAATGAACTTAATAACTAGTGTAAAAAATATATTCACACATAGGTGATAGTAAATAAAATAAATTATTCAAACTCCTGAAATATATATAAATATAAACATACCCCAGCAGAAGGCACAAGCTCGGGAATATCAGACAGGTTTGTGTGCTCAGCACGGAACCCCATACTGTCGAATGTTTCGGGAGTTTGCATATCAGAATCGAAATTTCCAGACGGGCCCACGTCCCCTGTCGGCAGCTGACCATCACCTTCCGTGGCTTCCACATGTTCTAAAACCGAGACCGATTTGGAATTTTCGGGAGTGAAATAATTTTTGTCACCTGGAGAAGGCACAGCCATGGAGAAAGATGGGATGTGATTATCTGGCGAGGGGCATTCGTTATTACGTAGAGTTTCAATCTCTACACTTGTCATGTCTTGATTGGTTTCTTGAGTGGGGTCTAATTGGAGTTTGGCAGGGATTATTATGTCTTCTTTATATACATCTCGCAAATCGGCACAAGCTCCTGAAGAAAAAGTAAGCTTTCGTTTAGATGAAAAATGAAAGGCAACATTAAGATACATTCAGAAATATATTCATAGAAAATATGCATGACCATTTATGAAGGGCTCAAAAGAACAATCTTTATTTCTTAATCGTAGCATGTTGTTGTGTTTCCAGATGGATAGTGAAGATGAAGGGCAGTTTCTCTTAATCCGAAGGATATTGCTCGTGTCGTCGAGAGCAGCTTTGACTTGCCTGAATTTGAATACAAATATTAAAAAAAAAAATAGTTAAAGTGCATGTTGCTAAAAAAGATCAAAGTTCACCTTCACATCTTTTTTTCCCTAATTGAGAAATAACACATATATTTGGAAAAAAAAAAGCAGACAAACAAAAATAGAAAACCTTACTCGTTGCTCAGCACTGTGACCTCATCAAAAAACTGTTTTCTCTTTCTCTTTACTCTCTGTTGCAAAACAAGTGGACTTTGCCGGATTTCCATTTCTGGAGTCCGGTGGACTAATTGACAAAAAAAAAACGATTAGACAACTTCAGATTATAATTATAATAATAATAATAATAGAAAAAAATGATGATCACCCACCAAAAGGAGTTGGGGAGTTCAAATGCCCGAGCGAATGCTGCTCTTCTTCAAGAACATTATTATGGGGAGATGAAAAACGAGCATCAGGCAACGGCATTTCTTCAGTAGCCGGAGTAAGAATCTCCTTATCTTTAGTGATTTGCTCCTCAAGAAATTTATCAGGGGCCGCACGATCTGGCAGTATAGGGGAATTGTTGAAATCAAAATTATGGGCCGCATCACGCATGATTTCAATACTCGGCGATTTTTTTTGAGGAGTTCTATTTTCGATATTTGTATCATCAGCCCCTATAGGGTTACTGGAAGAGGGATCATTCAAACCACCAGGTGTATCGACTTGAACTGGATGAGGGACACTACATATAATAGAATTTCAATTACAATTTCACAGATTGAAAGAAAAAAATGGCTGTAGAATTAACTTTTGATAAGGATTGCAGAAAATTTTACTCATCATCCATTGGAGTGGGCCCAGTTTCCAAATGATCATCGATTTGTGATGTATCCCTTAGATCCTGCTTCAATGGAGAAACAATTTTCAATGGAAGATTTCAATAGGCTCTTAAAAAGAGCATGAAATTCAAAATAAAAGATGCGGTACCTTGTCAAAAGTGATGACAATATACGGATCTTTTCCAGTAGGAATTTGCTCTGTGGCATAGCATACCAAATAGTTAAACATTTGCGAGATCAAACAAAAAGGGTAAAATATACTCAAAATGTAAAGGTCATTTTTATATATATACCAGTCATAGTTATGTCATCCCAGCTCTTAAAATGAGTATCCTCACCCCTGAAAATAACAAATCCCTCAACTCTTTCAAATATGTAGCTTGACAAAGAACAATTAAAAGTCATTTTTTAACCCAATTACATACCAGTCCTTAAAACGACCATCCAATTCCAAGGTGTCAAGATTAAATTTTTCTGGCAAAGTTACGGCCTGAACCTGTGCATGAGTCGAATCATTTGGAAGATTGAGGTTCACAGTTGTGTAGACCCTATTTATTGTGATCCGTACTTCATTGCAATCTTCATAAAGATAGTCAACTTGTTTGGAGTATATCCGCACGACTCCAAGCAAAAGATGGCCCGACAATCTGAGTGCAATCGGCACTTCAGGGTACATGATTCGTTCTGCAAAACAAGTGCAGATAAATATATTCAATTTTTCAAGAAGGGAAAATATAAATAAATAAAAGCATCATGGTACAAAGTTCATATGAATGTTTATGAAAATTATATAAAATGATGCCAAGAGTAGCAAGGACATAGTAAATTAAAAACTCCACATCATGTTTAGAATCATAATTCATAATATAAATAAACCTAAATACCTTTCGAATTATACGATAACCTCTTATAGTGTCACAAGCACACTGAAATTTTGTATTTGCTTGAATAACCAAGGGATATAAGTAATTTTCAAAGATGGTTTTTTTTTCATTGATTAGACTATGCATCAAGAGTATATTTTTAAGATTTATCTTTAAAGTAATTAAGAGGCAGAATAAGTTTGACCTATGTTGATGAACTTACAAGACTACCCAACTGTTAAAAAAAAGAAAAATAAAACAACAACTAAGCTGATATTATTCAGTGGGTCTGAATACAAGAACAAGGAAAGCTGTCCCATTTCTCAACAAAGAAAGATTGTCATATACCTTAGAATATCAAATGATTTGTAGGTTGAATTAGAACAAATGAAAACATCAGCCAAAAGCATGACACAAGAAGTTCAAAGGATCCACAATGATGTGTAATTTGAAAATGCCTAGCATAAAAAAGTATCAACCTTTATATAAAGGACAAAACATCATTACAATGACACATCATGCATTACTGATAGGACTAAGGCTATCATGAACCGGTTATTACAGGCTACACCTTAATCACTCAAGATAGAAGGCAATCAAGAATCATGTACAAAAGACGCAGAACAAACACTCCAAGCCCATGCTTACAGAAAATTGGATTGTGAGTAAAAGAATGAAATTACATGACTACTGCATAATTGTAAAGGACAACATTTTGATGGGTAATTGGTACATAGTTAATTAGTTACTTTTATGATACAAAGTATGGATCTTTGGAAGAACATTAGCATCTTGCAAAAAACCAGTGAAAATAAAAGCAAAAGAAAATTCTAGTAAATTCATAAATAAAATTCGTGAAAAATAAGATATCCAAATCAATTGATAAATAATCTTTACGGCCTATTCAATCAATTAAAAAAAAAAAAGCAAAAAAAAGACTCCAAGATTGAACTTTTGAGTACATATAACAAATCCAATCAATTAAACAACCCCAGAAAACAAAATCAAGATCTTTAACTACAGTTTTAGCCGAACCCCATGAATCAAGATTCATTTTTTAACATTTAATTTCACGCAACGAACAAAATAAACAAAAGAAACAAAGAAAAAACACCACCACTCGCTCTCCTGATTCTCCCATCCTCCCCAAAACCAAACAAATCAAGAGTCAAAATCAGATACTTAAGTGAGCCCACATATTATAAATACGCACATATCAGTGTAAAGTCATCGAATACTCACCGACGGTGGAGGGGACGTTGGTTGAGAGGTACTGCGGCTTTCTGAGCTTGTGCTGCAAATGGGCCGCGCACCAAACGACGCCCAACGGGCCCTTCCTCGCCAAGAAAGTGTTGGAATAAAACATCTCCTTCTTCTACACACTTCGAAATAGCAGCAACCCTGTATGTATATAAACCATATATATACATAAATAACTATTATTGTGTGTAAATAGAGGCTGAGAGGTCGAGTGTTAGGGAAGGGGTTTTGAAGGGATTAGCGGGAAAAGGAAAAGAGGCGCGAAGCCAATACAGAAGGAAAATATTTTCGGCGAATTTGCCTTGCAGGTTACTAATTGAGTTCCTGTTTTAGATTTATTTACGACACTGCCATGGAGTTACGTGGCGGCTTCTCAAGTACCCTACCGCTTGTAGCGTCGCACGTGGGGAGGGAAGTGGGAACGTGTGTCTGAACTTTTTTTGGGCTTGTACAATTGATGGGCCGATTGTTAATATGCTAGTTTGGGAAAATTTTATAACTGCTCCATACACATTTCTACAAAGCCAACGGGTATGAGAATTCCAAAAAGGGGTATCATGAATTTTAAAAATGTTTGAACAGGAAGTTACATCAATAAAAATTCAAAATAATAACTCTTTTTTTTCTCTTTCTTTCTCTTTTTTCCTTCTCTCTCTTCCTTCTCACAATTCGTTTCTTGTTCTGTTCTTCTTTTTTTTTTTCTCCTCCTCTTCTTCTTCTTCTTCTTCAAACATAAAAACAAAAAAAAAACAATAAAAATGAATAATCAATTAGTACTACTACGTCTGCAATATGATTTGATTTCCATTAATTTCTGTCATTTTTTCTTAATCTAAAAAAAAAAATTTAAAAATTACAAAATAAACATATATTATAAGAGGTCTGAAATTAGATATATTCAAAGCGGAAAAGATATAGACAAGATTCTGAGCAACAAATAAGTAATAACACAACAACTAAATGTGTTGATTATATTAAAAAAAAAAAAAACTTAAATGATTCCACATATTAAAAAAAACTTAAATTGAAAAAACAACATGAAAATAACAGAACATTGAAAAAACAACATGAAAAAAACTTTAAAGCAACATGATAAAATCATGAAAATAACTTAAAAGAAAAGAGAAAAAGTACATAAAAGCAAACATCCAAAAGAATAATCAAATCCCAAAAAAAATCAGGCTATAAAATAAAAAAAAAAAAAATAGCAAAACTAATCTCAAAAAATAGGCTTTTAACATATCCTGCAAATAATTAATGGAAAATTACTAAAAACCACACAAAAAATAATATAAACATGCAAAACTAAACTTGAACACTCTGCACGAATCACCGTCGACGGGTAACACAGATCCGAAACAATCCATCATAGATCTACTAACAGCCGTCGGTGCTCGCCACTCTTTGCCGCTCATGAACCGATAACAAGCGTCAGGCGACTCAGGCCCTTGCTGAACCACGCGATTGGTAATGAACTTCGGTTATAGAAATACAAGGAATTGGGATTGGGTCACTAAACGAAAACTTTTTCTATTAATTTTGTGATAATTATTTTTAAACATGAGAAATCTGGAAAGAGGAGACGAAGAGAAAAGAAAATAAAGAGAAGAAAAAGAGATATAATTAAAAGATAAAAGAAAGAGAAGAAGTAGGAAAAAAGATTGAAGAAAGAGAGAGAAAGTTGTGGGAACGGTTAATGGGATAAAAGGGTATATATAAAAATGAAATGGAGTAAAATTATATAAATAGTGAATAAGCCTTTTATTGTAAAATGTGTAAATAAATAGTCAATGAACACATTAATTCGGATTCGCCTAGTTTTGTAATTCACTCAACTGGGCTAACTGGTTTGGCCCAATTATATATGAATTTGGAAATTATTTAAAAAGTAAGTAAAATTGGATTTGCATGGAATACAAGCGTGATATAATTTTGAATATCATAAATTCTTAGATAAGGCGGCCGAATGATTAGACAAATCGACCTTTCATACTTTCGAATAAAAATGTATATATTAAAAATATCATACTTATGTTTATGTGGCTTTTTAAAGAGTGTCGATAGTATATAAAAGTTTTTATATTTTTAACAATATAATTTCTTTGTACAAGTGAGATTGTGTTCACGAAAGTTTTCATCTACATGTTGATTCATGAATATATGCAAAAGGTTGGTGGTATCTTTACATTTCGATTTTGAACGGATGAGTTGTTTTCTTGAAAAACATCGAGCATCGATGAATATTACAATTACTAGTATTATAGTTGTGTACTACACGGGTGTTTGATAAAATAATTAAATGTTCAACAATAAAATAAAAGAAAAAACGTTTATATATTTTGTTGAATTTGGAAAAAATATTTAAGGAACAATATATAACAATTTATAATAAAAAAAAACTAAGAGAATTAACAATATTCTTTTAAATTATGAAAACTAATTTATATTCACCATAAGTTTCATTTATAATAATTTCATTTAAAACATATAGAGAATAATAGGGACAAAGCACAAATTTGGAAAATAAGATAATATGCACATTATATAAAGAAGATAATAAACAGATTAATATTGAATAGTTTAAATATGTTAAATATGTGTATGTAAAAAATAGTAATATCTATCTGAGTCATATTACAAAGCATAATATTTTGTCTGGTTTTGCTATAAAATCGACGGTTGACTCCATAGTGAAACCAATCTTCTATATACAGCAAGTTAACTTTACCATATTAATGAAATTATATTAGTGTTATTCAAGTAATCAAATAATATAGTAAATTTACTCGCTATATATAGAAGGTTGGTTCTACTATGGAGCCAACTATTAGTTTCGTAGCAAAACCGTATTTTGCGACATAGAATTACGAAGTGTGCGAAGTTGCTACTTAAACTCAACGCATTCTGAAATTATATATAAAGTGAATTTGGCGAAACAAAAACACGTCATCGTTCATTCACACCCATCATAGCACAAAATTATCTCAATTTCCAGTATTCCAAAGAGAACAAGATGAACACTCATCATAACACAAAATTATCTCAATTTCCAGTACTCCAAAGAGAACAAGTCTATTTGTTCGTCATTTCTTGGGTGTGTTTCACATTTACATGCATTCATACGCATTCATAATCATATTACACAAAATTATTCTTGTTTTCCAACAGTTCAAAGAGAGCAAGTCTCTTTGTTCGTCATTTCTTGTGTGTTTTTTCCGTGCTACGACAACAAAAAAATAGACGAATGTATTTTCGAAATGTGTGCATGTCAACAATCACTGGTAAAAAACGGGTCTTTGCAGTCAAATAACAATCCGTTGATATAACATGGCCGAGGTAGCAAGTAATCTAATAACACATCAACTCAAAAACATAAGCTCGAGTTAACCTATATAAACCCCTCAATAACACAAAACAACATGACCAAACTCAACTTTCCTTAAACAAAGTACATGCAGAAAACAAGCAAGGTCACTTCAAGTTCAAGTTCACACCCAGCCGAGCATTCTCAGATCCTAAAGACAAAAACGAAACCTCCTATGCTTTATTAACACGGATTTTTTGACCTTCAAGTACCTGCACAAAGAGAAAACAGAAAACTTACAAAATAAATTGTGAATATCCCATCAACTTTGTATTTATGTTACACATTCTACAAGAACAGCGAGAAAAAGAAACGATTATTCAGACAATATTGGTTGCCTTAAAAGGAGAAAAATGGAGAATAGATGCACTTACCGCATTATTAAGAGATGATATGGCAGCCTCAACATCACCTTCCGAACCAAAAGAGACAAAACCATAGCCACTCGATTTTGAAGTTCCGGGAACTCTCGATATCTTTGCACCGAGAACTTTCCCTTTCTCGGCAAAGAAACTTTTGAGTGCATCTGTAGTTACGGTTTTCGCGAGATTGCCCACATAAACCTTGTATGGACTGTCCACAAACTGAGACTCTTCGGTTTGAAGAACTGACTGATCGAAAGGCGCCAGAGGTTTCTCGGTTATATTTACTTTTATTTTGCGTCCTCCGATTTCCTATTACATTTAAATAGAAAAAAAAAAGGGGCAAATATCCAGTTACTCCTTCAAGCATTACAAAACTGCAATACGATTATACTCAGTGTTCACTTAACAAACAAAATACACACACATACACCTCTTAGAGGATGCAAATTCTAGAAGATAAAAATAATGCGAATGGGATATCTCGAGTTCAAAAAGTATCCACAATTACATGCAATTAAGCTAAAAACTTGGAAATAGTTAAAATTGATGCCAAAAAAAAATATCAACTTACTGTGTCGTTTAGCTTTTCGAGAGCAGCACTCGCATCCTCAACAGTCTTCATCGTGACAAATGCAAAGCGCCTGCTCCTCTTGGAGTACTTGTCATACATTACCTATGAACATAAGGCACGGAAACTTTATCTCAAACAGTTATTCAAATCTTTCAATTATGGAACATTGTACATCCCGTATTTTTGAAGACATAAAGTAGCTGTTCAAGTAAAGCATAACCAGCTTAAGGAAACCATAAAACAAGAAACCCTTTAACGGCATTAACTAAATTTTGGGATTGTTATTAAGCAGCATACAAACTTTTACGGCACACTGAAACCTCTGTAGTCTGTAACTTCCTGAACTATTATCATGTGAAGCAAACGACAAAGCCTCATTTCGAATATGCAGCATAACTGTCCTGTTCGAATATTTTCGGGAAAAAAAGATAAATCGATTGTTCATTGACACCAATAATGATAACTATTAAACCACGAGACAATCTTTCTTAAAGAGGGAATCAATTGATCTTCGCTTCTTTTACAAATTCTCTACACTAAGGTATAATTCAACTAAATGAAATGCTATAGCATGCTTTCAAGTCCTCTGTTGTAGCAAATTATGTCCGTGGTAAATTGGTATAGCATTTACACACACATGACCTAAAAATCAACACACGATTCAATCCACTCAAGGCACGCACCCTTGATATGAAAAAACACCAATAATTCCTCTCTACCAATCCCACCACAAAATATTCCAAAAAAAAAGGGGGCAAAAAGGGAAAACCTCAGCCTTCTCGACTGCGCCATGTTCGTCGACGATTCTCTGGAGCTCTTCATTCGTGACGGTCCTCGGGATATTCCCGACGTACAATCTTCTCGCGGCTACAGACGACGGGTCAGCCGTAGCTACTGAAGCCGCTTCGGATACTGCATTCAGTCTTGCGCCGGTGGGTTTTAGGCGGAGGGATTGGGGTTTTGGGGTCTGGAAAATGAGGTTTGGGAGATGGGTTTTGAAGGGTTTGGTGGGTTTTTGCAGGAAGTTTTGATGGATTAAAAATGAAGACGGAGAGGAAAATGTGGCCATCGAGAGAGGAAATGTGGCGAAGACGAGAGGGGGAGAGATGAGCTCTTTGGTGTTTATCTCTGAAATCTTTTATCCATTTCAACTGTATATTTGTTTATTTATTTATTTATGAGAGATGTTACACAACCACTTCGTCGAGATTTGTAACCGTTAAATCAACTATTATTGACAGTTACATGATGATCTAACGGTTACCAACTCCAACAGGACCGTAGCATTTCTTTTTTTTATTCATATATCGTATATATTTTTCTTATTTATTCATCTAGCAATCTTTCTTGTTTTGGGTTTCATTTTTAGATTTTTTTGTTTAAATTGTCTAATCGCCGGTAATTTCATCGCATCACATTTTTTAACAATTCTAACTAATTTTTTAAATGTTAACAAACAAAGCACAACCTTAACTACATAATGCAACCCGACGACAACGATATTTTTGCCAGTGGACGTCAACTAAAATTATATTATACAAACTCAAAATAAGTACAACCGGTAACCAAATGACTAAAAAAAAAACTACACCCTTGCATTTCTAGTGAGCTCTCTTTGGCGAAAAAATTAGTCCACAAACCGCAACTTTTAAAAACTCTCGTTTGCCCTTGTCTCCTCTCTGGTGAGCTCTCCTCACCGCTTCAGAGTCGACAGACACAAGGGCGTTCGACAAGCATCCAGTCCGGTCTTCGTTTCCTTCCCCTACACGACACTTCTATCTTGTTCGGGTAGCTATGGCAGGGATTCCGGTTGGGTTCCGAAAAATTGGCGGCAAGTTTGTTGTTGGCGTTGTTCGCTGCTTTTGTGGCATATGGGGTTAAGACCGATGCTTTTTGCTCCCCTGATGATGTTCGTCTCCATGGTGTTGGGGTTGAAGGCTCCGACAATGGGGATGGTCGTCGCCTTCGGTGGTGTTCAAATGTTGTCGTCAGTTTGGTGTTGAGGGTGGTGTTTGGCGTTGGTCTCTCGGTGTAGTTCCGAGATGGTTTCCTTTGGAAGGGGGATTTGGCTCTTTCGTCTGGATTTAGTTAGTTGTAATGGAAATTTCTAGATATAGAATTGAGGTGGTTGAACTGTCTTTCGTGTGTGGAGAGGGGGGAGGGTGTTCTCATTTGGGGTGTTGGCTTGAGTGGTGGTGGTTCGAAGTGTTTGCTGGCGGTAGATGAGGGCTTTATTCTAGTTATTATGATATGAAACGAGGGTGGTGAGTATAGAGTACGCAGCTTGTGTTAGAACACAGACATTCTGAATTACTAAGTTGTGTTGCACGACAAGAAAATAAAACTTAAAAGCGGAAGCGATATACAAAAATATATTTATTCGGGGAGCGTCCCACTACCCATCAGAGCTCTTTCATTGATAAATCGGTTTTGCGTCCCAAAAAATAAAGCTTGGACTTACTCGACTCGGACTCCCTCATAGTCTAGCCAACACTATACCCGATCATATCAACTACTTCCCTGTCCACGTCCCGTGAACTTTACACACTCGAATCCTTCGAGCAAACCCAATACATAATCCCTAAGCAGTAAGCACTCAAAAAGTGTTTGTAAAAAGAAAAAGAAACTAAACAAACTCAGTTCGCCAAAAATGTAAGAACGCTAAAGTGTTGTGACGAACAAAATAAAAAATAATAAAAATCTCTAAAACACTCAATTGAATCATGATATTTCTTGTCTTCAATTGATTGTTTGAGTATGCTTATATACAATCTTCTTAAGGTAAGAAGTTTTCACAAGTTCTTTCTTTTCCTTTTTATGAGTCAATTTTCTTCTCAATTGATTGTTTTCTGATTTAAACGAAATCCTTTATGTAAAGTAAGTTTCTTTGATGATTTGGAAATCTTCGAAATCGAGCTCTTAATAGAAATCTTGCTTTCCCAAATTGTGTAAGAACATGATTTTCCAAAAATAGCTGATTATCCACGTCTTCAGATATCTTGTGATGACTTTTTCTAAATCCTCCTTAGATCTTTTCATTAACGTTCATAACTCTTTATGCACGAATTGCTCATCATTTCATAATCCTTGCCAATTATTCATTGTCCTACAAGCAAGAGAAAACTAATTATGACATGTGATATATATGTTAAGTAAATATATAAGATCTATATTATGTAATCATTTTCTAAAGGTTTGGGATTCTATAATACATACTACAATAAATATACACCATATATCATTGATAATAAATATTATGAACTTAATTAAATCACAAATAAATAAATAGAAAACTTCCATTTGATTTGTTTTGCTTGCTTAATAAGAAATCTTCTAGAAAACACTTAAGTTTGTCGAACGATGTCAAATCAATGTTCTTACAGGATAGTTAGTAGTTTGAGTTTTTTGTGTGTTGTATTGTTTTATAGTTTTATTATTCTTTTTAGGATGTGAGAGTATTGTGGTATTAGTAATGTTGGTGTGTTCGTGTTAATGTAATTGTTTCTAGACTACCGTTGAGTAGACTTCTCACTGAATTCAGTTGTATATTTTCTTCCACTGTGACTAGCTGTTGTTTGAATTGTAAATATGTGATTATCTAACATTTTTATATTGTTTGGCAAAAAAAAAATGTCAAGAGACAAATCGGTAATGGTTAATTAGTTAAATTGCATTTAGTTAATTATTATTATTTCTATTCTTTGGTCATCCAAAATGATATCATTGTTATTGAACAAAGAATATTGTTCATTTCATCACACTTGTTCTTTTTTATTTTGTTTATATATATAATTATCACAACAATTTTTTTAAAGTATTATTATATACAATGTAACAAAAAAATACTATTCGGATTGTCATTTTAGTGTTTTCAGTCTTTGATTGTGTCTTTCAGCTTTTGGTTGTTTTCTTTTCTTTTGCACTTTGTGCGGTTTTTAGTTATATAATATCTCTATCATTTTCTGGAAGTAAAAAAAAATACTATTCACGTGTTCATATATTTAATTAAATATCGTTATTAGGTAATATTTTATTATTTTTACATAGATCAATCAATTTAATCATACATTTTTCCTTATATTCATCTATAAATATCTTTTAATACTTACTTCATTCATTTATTTAGACAAGAAACTTATTTTTTTTTTTCCAAAAAATGTTATATATAATGGCACAATTATGCAGTTACCTTGATCACCTATAGTGTTGTAAACGAACCGAATCGAACCGAGCTTGGGTTGTTCGAGCTTGTGTTCGTTTACGTTCGAACAACGTTCGTGTTCCTTCATTTATTTTTTGAGAAAAAATTCGTGTTCGAGTTCCTTCGTTTAATTGTTCGTCAAAGTTCGAGTTCGTTCGTGTTCGAATAATTTAATACATAAACTTTTTAAATATGTTTGATTAACTCAAAATTTGTTCGTTCAAACTTGAAAGTAAAAGAATAAAATAAAATATTTTTATATTTTATATTTTTTATTAAAAATATGATTAAATATATAAAAAATAAATAAAATTATATTAAATTTTAGATTTTTATTAAAAACATTATATATATATAAAATAAATAAAATTATATTAAATTAATGTTCGCGAACATAATCGAACGTTCACGAACGTGCTCGTGTTCGTTCGATTATTAAACAAACCTAATTTTATGTCTGAACTCGGCTCGATTAATAAACGAACGAGCTTTTGTCGAACACGAACGAGCTCGAACGAGCTTTTGTTTGCGAACGTTCGGTTCATTTACAACTCTAATCACCTATAAAAAGATTAAGTGTGTGCTGGCTAAGGGCTTGATTGTTTATGAAAAAATTTACTCATTTTTATTTCAACTCAAAATTTAACTCAATTTTAACTCAACCCCACTATCTTTAATATTATTCATATAATTAAATAATATAAACCAATCATTCTTACACATCATATCAACTTTAATTCACTATTCATCAACTCACATATTTTTAACTACCTATCATTTCCAATCATTTATCTCTTATTTTTATATCAAATCAATTTTAATCATTTTATTTTAAATATTATTTTAATACATTCTTAAAATTCCACTAACAACTAATCATACTACTTTTTCAAAATTAACTATGATTAACCAAAATAACTCATTTTGAACAAATTATTTCATAAACAATCAAGCCCTAATTTTTTATTTTTTTTTCTAAACTATCCATTTGTTTTTAACTATTTTTTTTTTCAAACTCAAATACAACTCAATTTTAAATCTACATCATTATCCTCAACATTATAAATATAATTAAATAATATCAATCAAACTTACACATTAAATTAACTTTATGATTCATTATTCACTCAACTCATATCATTTTAACTAATTATCACTCCATATCATATGTCTCATACATCAAATTTTATTTTATTATTTAATTTTAAATAATATTTTAATAAGCCATACTAAATCAAACTATTCAAACAAAAATCCAAATCCTCCCTATATATAATTACATAATGCGCTGAGCCTACGTGGCTGCTTCTGGTGCTTCGGAATCCTATTTGGCGAAGAATAATGCTTTGTAATTAGGTTTGGACAAATAATATTAATATATTAATAATTAATAATCTAGGTTCGGGTATTCCATAAATATTATTTAGCTAACTTAGGTATTTTAATATCACTTTTACTAATATAACCCTTTAATTATTTGTAATTTTACATAGTGAGACACTAAGTGACTAATATATCCCTAAATTTTGATTTGCTTCCTTCAATAAGCTATTGAATTATAAATGTATTTTAAAAGTAGATAACTTTTGTATTTATTATCGGTTTTACATATATAATATATCAAATTAATCATCTTTTGATGATCTTCGATTTGACATCTATATTGTATATATAAAATAAATAAATTATATTTTTCTTTATAATAATATAAAATAATCATATTTATTAAAATTCATTAGAAAAATAAAATTATTTCTCAATTGATATATTTATATTTAATGTAGTTATATAGTGTAAGTTAAAAAATTAGTATCATATAACACAAGTAAGTCGCACAAATAAAAAGTACACTACAAGAAAATGATGAAATTCCAACGGACATATATTTCAAAGAATTATTCCAACGGCAATTTCAACGGATATTTTAATACTATTATTTCTGTTGGAATTTTTCAATGGATTCCAACGGAAATTCCAACGAAAATATTCCGTTGGAATGAGTTTTCCATTGGAATTTCCGTTGGATTTTGACGATTCCAACGGTAGATTTTCCAATGGGGGTGGAAAAAAATAATTTCAACGGAATTTGCATATTCCAACGGAAATTCCTACGGTAAAAAGCCGTTGGAATTATAGCCGTTGGAATCATCAAATTCCATCTAAAATTCCAATGAAAAACACATTTCAATGAAATATTTCTGTTGGAATTTCTGTTGGAACTATTCCAACGGAAGCTATTCCATTCGAATATCCGTTGGAATTTCCTTTGGAATATATTACCATAGGATTTTTCGTTGGAATATAACATTTATTTTGTAGTGGTATCATAATAAATATAATATATATATATATATATATGTATATATATTCTTATAAAAGGTATTTAATTTTTCAAACTACTTTTTCTCATTAATTTTAAATTTTAAGAAAAAAATTAGCAAGCACCCGTGTAATACACGGGTGTTGTACTAGTATATTATAAAAATCAAATATATCAAGCCTCCCCCGATGAGAAAATAGAGTACATAAGAAAGAACCAAACAAAATGGGAGAAAAAAAATTCAGAAATAGGATGCCATAATTCACGGCGGGAATCATCCGATCAATGGCTGCCATGGCAGCCCTTTTCCGAAAATTCAGTTTTGGAGGAGAAGAAGATTTGAAATTAGGGTAAGTATTCGGTTGCTTGCAGTAACTTTCAGCGTGAAATCATTTTAGGGCGATTCATTAAGTAGATTAAATCTGCCTGCTTAAAATTTCCTCTTCGTTATACTCTTTCTCTATTATTAATCTGTACTGAAAGTGCTTTATTTTTGCATAAAGATCCAATCTTTTTTGACAAGTGCTTACTTCTTGTGTGTATGTTCGTTCCCCTTTGACTGCAAATGTAGCTTATCCTTTCCTTGCCCAATTTGATTGTCATTGTTTCTATTTGAAACAGACTTCTCCATGAAAAATGTGCTATGAACTTCATTAGCTAGACATGAGGTTTAGAGGCTAGAGCAAGATAATTCTCACATTTCACACAATAACACTTCTCACTTGGCTTGAGCACATTACGAAACAATCGATGATTATCTCGTATATCGCTGGAAAAAAAGGGCGCACCGCGTCACAGTGCTAGTGATCTTACATTATTCATTCACTTTAGGCACAACTAGTTGATAGTATACAAGAAAACCAGAAACAAATCGAGATGACTTAACACTCAACAGAGGTGACACCCTACTCACAAACCCAAACAAATTATTCTGTTTATTTATGCATACAGACATTAAGAAAAAAAAAAACACAGCTCCAGATCAGAAAAGAGAAGGTCAAACAGAAGAATCTGAGCCCCCGTCCAATCACAGCATGCTATCTGTCCTCGCGCTCAATCTCCTGAAAATATTACTCGGCACGGACGGCGTCTTGCTCCTGAACCTCGGGTGCCTTAGCACGTAAAGCCCCGCCGCTAACACCACGACCCTGAAAGGCGTCACGTACAGCACCACAGCCGAACACAGGCAGAACAAAATGAACAGGGCTGTGGCCCGCGGGTCCCGCCAGCTCAGCAAAGAGCCCACCCGTTCCCCTTGCGTGGCCACGTCACCAGCCACCGTCTGCACCCTTCCCGCCACGCTCCTCAGCCTGTCGTACCTCATCCGCACCAAATCCGGGCCTCGGCTCGTTGGGAACGTGTCAAACTCCTCGTCCAGCTCATCCGAGCTCACCCCCTCGGCCCACGAAAGCCTTGAGTCCATAAGAGCCGGGCCCCTTGGACGGGACCTGTAGTTCCATAGCCCGATAAGGAACGCGTACAGGAAAATGGTCGGGAGTATGAGTTCAGGGTAACAGACCAGGATGACAAACAGGGCATGGACTAGAATCGAGGTGGCTCGATTTCTCCAGCTGCAGACATCGTTAAACCAACGGACGACAAACACGAGGCCCGAGACGAGCGACATTATCCGGAAGAAGTTGGCTTTGCTCCGCCTCATGCTCCACATGTGGGAATCCACGTCCAGCATGTACTCGATCACTTCCTTTCTCAGCGGGGGCTCGGCTCGGCCCAACCTGGCAGCCACGATTCCCATCGCTTGGTACCTCAGGTTCTCGATCTGGTTCACGGTGAATGGGTGTAAATAGTGCATTTTGGGGAGGAGGGGTCGAGTGTAGACATGCAGCGTTTGGGCCAGAGAGAGTGTTGTGAATCTGACTGCCAGCTGGAGCTCCCCCACCTTTTTCAGGCCAGATGGGTGCAGAACAAGAAGAGGGTACGAGCCCGTGTGCACTTTTCGGGCCTCGAGCGTGGACAGTCTTATGCGGATCTTCCCAATCCGTGAGTCCCGGCCCGACTCGACTCCTCCTCCTCCTCCTCCCAAGTGGCAGTTGTCAAAGACTCCGATTGTTAGGACAGTGCACGGGTCGTAAACTTCCCACGTGTACTGCTCGTTCCACCTCGGACTGAAGTTGTCGAGAACGGTCCTCGTCCGGACCCACTTCTGTCCGTATTTAGCCACGCAGTAAGCATCCGTGCTCCCTCGGACATCCTTAATCTTCATCGGCAAAAGCCCCTGTGCGCCTAATATCCCGAGTTCGAGTATCCCGACAGGTGGCTTCCAGAGTTGCTTTGCTGTCGGGCGCGTGTCGCTTATGTACATTGCCGACTCGTCCAACACGTGGTATCCACCTTCGAGACAGACCCTCACATGTATCCTGCTCGAGAACTTGAGATCCCTTCCGAACCTCTCGAGGTTGAACCAACGAGAATGAACCGCCCGGTGATCCAGCCTCTTCTCGAAAACAGTCAGGGGAAGACTTATGCTCCCGAGCTTCACATCATCCTTCGTGGGGTCCGTGTGCTCCTCGACCGAAAGTATTAGGTGCTCCTCAAAAGGCTCAGCTGCCACGAACACTAAATCTTCGTTCCACACCGGGTTCACCGTTCGGGCCTGGGAAGCCCTCGTCCGGAGCACCTGATTTCCCACCCGGGCCTTTACGGAGACTTCCGGGGCCCGGTTAGGGTCGTTGGGGATTATGTCTTGGGCCTCAATCACATTGACCCGAAGGTACCACAGTTTTGGGGACACGTAAACTTTTGAGCGGACATTGAGAACTCCCTCGCCGGAAACCGAGGCCGCATCCACGTGCCAAGCTTCTGCGAATGCCTCGTCGGCTTGCGACCCCATCCAGACGGCCGCCATGACCTCCCCACGACCACCGTCGAGCCTGTACCACTGTGGGGCGAGGGGGCTGTCGGGGGGGACCCGCATGGGGACCTCGTTCAGGTCAAAGGAGACTCGGCCGATAATCTCTTTCTCCTCCCTGACAATGACTTCCAGAGTTGAGGATTGGATTCGGTCTTTGGAGAAGGCGAAGACTTGGTTCCACTCGGGGCTCGTGGTCTGATGACCTGATTGCTTGGTTCGGCCACGGTAGTTCCCAAGCCTGACCTCAGCATATGGGTTGCAGCCGCCAGACATGACAGAGCCATGTGGGAGCTCCCTGGCCCTGACCACCCGAACATATAGGAAGTGCATCTGCTCGACGAGGTCTGACGTGGCGGTGGGGCCCACCATTCTTCCCCCCATTGCCCAGTGTTCACCTGGCGGATAAGAGTTGGATTCTCTCACCTCGGAAGAGTCCTCGTTATGGCCACGTCCCGACGGAGAGATATTGACTCGATGGGGCGTTGTTGTTGGACGATGAACTCCCTCGGTTCTCGTGCGCAGCGTGATTCTCGGTTGTGGGGCCATTTGGTGCTTGTGTATAATCTCTGTGGTTTTTTGGGACACGATCTTATCGGGTTCTGCCTGGTTGGAATCGGTTTCAAGTACGGGAATTTCGACTTTATCTGTGACTGGCTTGGGACAGTTATTAGCAATGAGGGCTTGAGGAGGAGGTTTGGTAAAAATGGGGTTTGTGGTGTTTTTGGGATTATTCGAAATGACGAGGTTGGGTTCGGGAGAGATATATATCTTGAGCCCGATTTCGCCCCTCGAGAGCGAAAAGAGTGACCTCTTTTCGAGCTGAAAACGCTGATAGACCTCGTCTCCTTCCCTGACGAGATTCGAGCAAGGAATGATTACCCTCCCGAGAAAATATCTACTCGGGAAAGGCGGCCTCCTCTCGTTGTATACAGAGACTTGTATAAATTGGTGACGATAGTTTTGTTGGGTTTTGTCGAGATCGAAAACGAGCTTTTGGTTCCAAGTGGGGTTGAGGTTTTTGGGGACTGTTTTGGTTCGGCTGAGCTGGTTATTGAAATCGACCTCTACGTATGGACTGGCCGAGCCTGAACCGTCTTTGGGGTTAAGGTCGTAAGCATCTATGACTTCTATAACCAGCTTCATGCTCTCTCTCTCTCTTTCTATTTCTATCTATATCTCCTTTTTACTTGCTGGATTTTGGCTCCTTGGTGAAGATATTAGGAAGTGGGTTGTGTCAAGATATCTCTAACTCCATTTGGAAGCAAAGAAGTTTCTTTTCATGTTTTGAAAAAGGCAATAAGTGTCATGTTATAAAGCAGAAAAATATGTGTGTGTGTGTGTTTCTTGTTGCAGGTTTTGATGATATTTATATTGATCCGTTATACTCCGTTTAGTTGATCCGTTATACTGCGTGAATGAAAATGCATATTTATATTATCAAATGTTGTACTTGTGTGTTTGTATGATATTTAAATTACTTGACATATTATAATGAAAGTATGTGTATATGGGAAAGTAGTATAGTATGTCGGTCTAATAGTTAAATCGATCTAATTATAAAGTAAAAACTCTCGTGTTTTTCGCTTTGGGTGTCCGGCCAACAACACGGGCAACGTTAACAACGAAATGTCATACTATATAAAATTATGGTAAATTTTTTTTTTTTATTTAATGTCAGTAAAAAAAGTTTGTTTGAGAAGTACTTATGCTATCGTTACTGTCTAAGAAAAATTCTATTCTTCTGAATGCAGCAATGCTCTTGGGGGGGACTTGGTGTTGATGTCATTTGATCTTTATGAGCTTCTAAAAAGTTTCCTTGTGTTTTATTCTTTTCTTAATACTCTCTCGTATTTTTATTATTTGTCGTTTTGAGAAGTGACGCGCTAATTAAGGATTTTTTTTTTCTCTTGCCAATATTAACCCTATTTAATAAATGTTATGAGACACAATGGAGATGGGACGAACGAACACTTGGATGGCTTGATGTGAAACGAGTTAGCCTCCAAGACTTCGAGCATCACTCTCAAATGCTCCAGATGTTCAGCTCATGACTTCGATTATACCAAGATATCATCAAAGAAGACTAAAACAAACTTACGTAGATACTTCTTGAAGATGGAATTCATAGCAAATTGGAAAGTAGATGGACCGTTGCACAACCCGAATGACATCACCAAATACTCATAATGCTCTTGATGTGTACGAAAAGCTGTCTTCAGAATGTCGGTCTTGTAGAGTCGGATCTGATGATAACCAGCTCCCAGGTCGAGCTTCGAGAAATAATGTCATCCTGCCAACTCATCGAGCATGTCGTCGACACTAGGAATAGGAAATCGATCCTTGATAGTCGCGGCATTCAGAGCCCGATAGTCGGAAGATATAAATAGACAATATACATTAAATGGAGGGTTAAAAATGGAAAAAAATGAACAAAATAGTTAAAACGATATTTATTTAATCAATGATTAATTAAGCTAGGATGACAAATAATAAAAATAGGACGAAGTATCACTTTTACTTGGGAACAAACAATGTACGCAATTACATTTAAATATAATGCTTTCAGAAAGTAAAATAAATGAAAATATAACATTCATTGTATTTAATACAATTTTTTGTTATGAAAAGTATGACTGCGTAAGTATTAGACAACAAAACTCTATATTTTGTAAATTTGGAATGTTATAACTTAAAAATAAAAGCTACAAAATTGAAAGGGTTGCCTTTAAAGGCTAACCACAATATTAGCAATTGATAACTATATATATTTTTGGTTTGTTGTTAGCCGATAGCGAATTATAATACCTCCTTATTTCATTATTAGTGGATTAAATTAGTTATCTGCAAAATGTTAATATATTGATTTTTTTTTTTTAAATTAATGTTTTTATATAAAAAAGCTAGTCAAATAACTTTTTATTTTGTCAAATTAAATAAGTTAATTATTTGACTTGATGAGTCAAACCTCCAACCGAGGTTCCATCTGTTAATATTCAAACATGACCACACTTTTTTTTTACCTAATTTAATGATACACCATATCTTACGAAGTTGTATATTTTAGTACAGATGGAAACATATATTTTATTCTGTATTTACGATGCCCAATTTTTTTGTATACTTATCTATTAGTGAAATATGGTAATATCATCTTAATAGATAGTTAAAATGACATTTTCTTCTAAATTGACTTGTTTGCAGAATAAATTAATCTTTATCTGGAGAAGAATTCAACATCTTTAAAATGGGAAATATATTATGAAATTTATTCCAAACCAAATTATAAACCCTCTATTAATCCATAACCACACAAATCGGGCCAAACCACCACAATTGGGTCGGGCCTCCAATTCTGGAACAGTCACCAAAAGCCCTCCACATTTTTTCAGGCCGAACAGTCCCGGGCCCAAAACCTTCCAAATTTCAAGAAATCTTGCGCCCATTTCTCCTCTCAGCTGACTTATTTCGCACGAATAATCGGGGTTTATCTAGGGTTTAACTCGAAACCCTTTTTCTACTGTCCTGCAGCTAGCCAGCTACAGAACGAGCCAATGATCAGGTCCCGCGGTCTCCAGCTCGCTCGCCGCTCGCTCGCTTGCTTTCTTGCGCCTTCATATGTACATTCCCTCAATCTTATTTATGTTAGATATCCATTTGTGACTGTTGTATTTATAGGTGATCGTTTTTATTGTAATGATTCACTGCAGATATATGATTCGTTGTCGAGGGAGGGCTGCAGGAGCTTCAGCACTGCGATTTGCAATCAATATCGGGTTGTTTCTAATCCCAATTTAGGAAATGGTACCCGCCTTCTTGAAGTAGAATGTTTGGGATTTTTGTATTGGTTAGTGAAGTTAATGTGATTTCCTTTGTTCCTGTGGAATACAGTGGGGAACGAGAGGGCTTGGTTAAAGTTTGGTTCATTCGTTGGAAAAATTGGTGTTGCACGATCAATTCATGGCACCGGTAATTGTTTTTAGCTTTGTCGGATTAGTATTCACCGTTAGTGTAGCTTGTAGTATTATGAAAACTGAACCCATAGCTGAAATTATGAAACATTTCTGCAAGTTACACCTACGGTGAAAAGGTTACTCATGATCATGATGGTACCTGTGAATATGAGCAAAAGTACTGTCATAAGTCACAGTTTTTAGGTTGAAAATGGGTCTATCTGTGGTAGCTCTATCCACCTTTGGGAAGACCTGTTTGATTACTGTGCAGTTAACTGATTATACTGTGGTTCTCTTTTTTGGTCTTTCCTGGCTAGCTCAACTATCAAAAGATTACTACGAAGTACTTGGTGTCAGTAAAGGTGCAAACTCTTCTGAGATCAAGAGAGCTTATTATGGGGTATGGTACTGGCTTGGCATTTTGCTCTAGAGTTAACAAAGAAATTTGTATGAACTATTTCCATGTTATCCAATTTGGTAAATAATTGGACCGAGTTCTGCAGCTAGCGAAGAAGTTGCATCCAGATACAAATAAAGATGACCCAGAAGCTGATAAGAAATTCCAAGAAGTCCAGAAAGCGTATGAGGTACTTTTGCAAAGTTTTGTGTTCCATATATAGTACAAAATTACATTTATATTTGTATATATATACAAATATATATGTATGTATATATATAGTTTGCTTCCTGATCCCAATCCTTTGTAGGTCTTGAAAGATGATGAAAAGCGCCAACAATATGATCAGGTGAGAATTACATGGCTGCTAATTGCATATGACATCTCTATCAATTCGCAAACATAGTTCTCATGCATTGATTATAACTAGTATGTGACATGTGGTTTATAATACATGTGCATATGTGGTGAAGGCAACTGGTTGTCCTGGTTTATTTATTGAGTAGATAAGGTATGAGATTAATGTGTGAAGATGTATGCGGCAGGTCCCTTCAGTTCCTTCTTCACATTAGACAGTGTACATTTGAAGCAGAAATGAATCTCTATTTATCTTTATGCTGATCCATAATATAATTAAGTTGCTTACTTTGTTTCGTTTTATATTTTTGTTTTATATCTTTAATCTATTTATTTATAAATGGCATTATAGTTTAATTTTTTTTCAGATTTTAAAGCTTTGATCCAACACTTCTGTTGAAAACACTTATGTTGAAAAAACTGAGTTGAACTATACATTTTAACGTTTCAAGAATTTTTGAAATTGTTTATTTTTACGTAGGTGGGGTTGAAGGAGGAATTCGTGGTATAAGATAGATCATAGTTTACTCATGTGTTTTATGAGGGAATTGATTTATTGCATGGATTGCTTTTCAGTTTTATGTAGGCATCATAGTCCTCCATTTTATGAGAGGTCTGACTATTATTTTTAAATATATTGTGAGCAGCTTGGCCACGAGGCTTTTGAGAGCGTGAGTAGTGGTGAAGGTCCTGGATATGATCCATTTTCAAGTGGGTACAACCCTTTTGAGGACATATTCAAAAATACTGGTGTAAGTCCTCGTGAGGTTATCATGTATAGTATACTTGATATATTGTTACATTTTTATTAACTTAAATTCCGTAATCTTTACTTTTCTGTAAGGTGAGATATTTAATAGTATATGGATGTTGGATTAGTAATTTTATCTGAGGTATGTTAAAGTGATCGTATCATGCTATAACTGTGTAATTGTTTTGCAATACATGTTTGCTCTTAAAGTGTATAAATGCTTTGCTGATTTTACAATGTCATGAGATTAAAATAATTGTTCTACAATGTTGAGGGTCTGGAGGCTGAGGTTATGGTGCCAAAGGAAGGGGGAAGTGGGGAATTATTGCATTTAACTTTTTCTAGATTATGGATTCTTGAAATAAAGATTTCTAACTGAAATGGAATTGCATCGTCCAGAAAGCCTCCTATCCATTTGTGTTTAATGGTTCAACCTTAAATTGGAATATACAACTTCTTAAACCCAATGGCCTTGTTTCACCTGTAAATTTGTACGTGTCCCAAAAGCTTAAGATTGCTTTTTTACGTGGTCTTATTATACTGCCTCTCAGCTTACTGACCTTTACATATAACATTATTATTTCTTGTCATTTAATTTATTGCTATTGCATTAACGAGTTTTATAATCGGCTTATTAGTTAAAAGATATAACTCTTTTACTTTTATTGTGCATTGCTGTAATTGTTCAGATTTTCAACATCTTCAATCGGGGAATGCGTGGCGAGAACGTCGAGGTTATGATTTGGATTAGATGAAATATTGAAGTTAGTGGAATATACTAAATTCTCACTGATCAGACTATTTTGTGCAGGTTTCACTTGAACTTTCCTTTATGGAAGCTGTCCAGGGTTGCGCCAAAACACTGTCCTTCATGACCGATTTGGCTTGCGATGCTTGTGGTACTTTTTTATCAAACAAAGTTTATAATGCCCCTTGCTAAATCAATATTTGTTTGAATCCTTTTGAGCTATTGATGTATTTTACATGGACGGGATGTTTATTTATTTTGCCAGTATTATTCTTCCCTGTTTTCTCTTATCAAGGCTCAACTGTTTCGTCATTTGTATAGGTGGATCTGGGGTTCCTCCTGGGACCCGGCCTGAAACTTGTATACGTTGTAAAGGCTCTGGCGTGGTGATTACCTTTTATATAACTAATTTGTCATGGGGATGAGTTTATAAACCATACTAAATATATTGTTTTGCCTTCACAGTTTACATCTCAAAATGGACCATTCAGAGTTGAAACTACCTGTCCAAATTGCGGAGGAGCTGGAAAAATTGTAAAGGTATGTGAATTAACGTCTAACTTATCACCTGATTAGTATTTGCTCACATCTCATATTTTTATCCGCTGGCCCTGGGGAGGGAGTTTATTCTCGGTTCTTAAATTCTTTTATTTATTTGTAAACTTTTCATCCAAACAGTTGATTGAAAAAAGAACTGATATTTGTTAACATTAGATAGAAACTAATGTTTGTTGTACTCACACAAGGCGTTCTAATCTGATCGCAAATTGAGTGGAAGTTGAGTCGCAAATGCTACTGCTAGTAGAGTGTTTGATATGTTGTGGCTTTAGTCTCGAAGCCCCAATTAAAGACATCTTTTTCTGACTCATCTTAAGTAGAGATGGACATGATAATGGTGTAGAGCATAAAAGAAGTGGGCTCTTTGAACTGTGCTCCTCAAACTTTGGACTTGATGATCTTGGCTTATACCCCTTTCCATGTTATCCAAGATGTGAATTTTGATATGCACCTCCTTTCAGAATAAAATGGTTATGCTATTTAATTGAAGTTGTTTTCGTTTTTTCTGCTCTGGCATCAAGAGAATAGATTAATGAAGGTTAAGTGATGCATAAAGTGAGAATGTCTTGTGGAGAACTTTTCTGGCTTGCAAGTTGCAATTGAACTTGATAATTTGCTTTGGGAGTAGAATTTTTAGAATGGTTATTCTTTCATTCTTTTCAGAGCTCCTGCAAGTCTTGCAGGGGAAAGGGGGTAATCAAAGGGTCCAAGACAGTGAACTTCAATGTCATGGCAGGTAATTTCACCTAAAATCTACTTCTTTATGAATTTTTAGTTTTGTGTCGTTAAGCTTGCATAGACTTTTGCTCCATGTTGCATCCACACTTTTCGGGACAGTAGAACATGAAACATTTGACAATCACAATGTGGATAATAGATTCATACATAAAATTAGTGGTACTGTGTTATTGCTTTCTGAAGCAGTTTAAATTTTGTCTAGAATATATCCTCCCACCTCACTTCCCATTTTCCTCGATAGCACTTTGTGGTTATTGAAAATAAAATCTTAGTATAGTTGTTGCCAGTAATTGAAATTAATCCATGTTCCTCTTCTTTTTGTTTTGTTTTTTTTTTTCCTACAAAGGAATCTTGTACATGCAATAGGGTAGAACCCCCTTAATAAAACCACTTTATTCCTTTTAAACATTATTGAGTTCTATAACTTCAAAATAGCAGTCATTTGAAACAAATATGTTTCTCCCATGCTTTGTGTATAGTTACTTCTTTTCTTAAGGTTTGTAGATGAATGTGGAATCATAATTAGCCACTATCGGTTTGCAGGTGTGAACAATGGTGATACTATCAAGATTCCGCGCAGTGGCGGAGCAGATCCTGATGGAAATCAGCCCGGTGATCTTTTTGTGTCAATCAAGGTTCGATTTATTAGCTCCTCCTTGTCCCAATGACTTCTGTCTGAATGTAGTCAATTGAGTTTATCGTTATGCTTGGATATGTTTTTACAGGTCAGAGAAGATCCAGTGTTCCGTAGGGAAGGGGCCCATATCCATGTCGATGCCATATTAAGCATTAGTCAGGTATTACTTGTGATGGAAATAATAATTGGATATTAATAAAAAATAGTAATATGTTGTCTTGTTGAGCTTTTAACTCTGAACGGGTAGAGACTTGTTAATTGGTGTTTGGTAATTGAATTAGTAGGTGAATGTCTGTAGTCTGATATACTAGCTCGAGTGAGATTCATTTCTTTTACTTGGAGAATAACAGATAATGATATTTGTATTCTACTACAGGCAATTTTGGGAGGCACAATACATGTTCCTACACTGACTGGAGAAGTTGTCGTTAAGGTCTGTATGTTTAGTAATGGAATTGTGATCATATAGTGGTATCTTGACTTGTTTGTCTTTTACTCTTTGGCAGATGAATTTTACAATTATCTACCTTTTTTCGGTTTTTTGTTTTTCCGCCCCCTTATTTTTTAGTAATCAGATGCACTTTTGAGGCCCCAAAAGCTTTTTGTAGAAATCAAATCTCTTCTCAACCAACTTTCACTTTTTTCTATTTGATTATGTCCTGTAGGTCCGCCCGGGCACTCAACCTGGTCAGAAGGTTGTCTTGAAGAAAAAAGGTAGACTTTACCTGGAAATATATTACTGTAGAGTATATTCATGATCTTGTTTTTACAGTTTTACCCTTCCTTGTACCCATTTTTTGCACACATGATCTTGTTTTTACATATTGTACTCGTCTTTTAAAAATAATGCAACTTGCTTATGCAGGCATCAAGACCCGAAACTCTTTTTCGCTTGGAGACCAATACGTTCACTTCAACGTCAGCATACCAACGTAAGTACTGGTCTTATGTAATGAAGTATCCCCTTAAATGTTTGGCCTAATTGCAAAAAAAAAAAAAAAAAAAAAGGAAAATATAGGGAATCCATGTAATTTAGACTAAATAATTATATGCACGATGGATTTATTTATATTGTGTCACTGGCCAGAAATTTAACCCAAAGGCAGCGCCAGTTGATAGAGGAGTTTTCTAAAGAAGAACAAGGAGAAGATGAAAAAGCTGCGGCTGCAAGTGCAACGGGTTGAACTTGTACTCGCAACACATTATCTTTGTGTGAATTACCCAAAAACCCACAGAGAAGAAGAGAAAAATGAAATAAAAGTCTTGCAGAGGCGCCCTATTCTTTTCTGAGGTGAAAATTATTACTTCTTTGCGTTGAATTGATATGTTGCCAATTAAAACTGTTTGCTATTTTTTTTATCTTCCCTTCTGTCGGGTAAGAAGTCAGATTAGTGGTATTTACATGACCATATATTTAATCATAGTTGTGTTTTTCAGTTTTGTTATGAATGATCATGACATGAGAATGTCTCCAGGGTGAAGGTGACTGTATTTTGTATATAGACAAAATTTCTTTGTCAGAGACTCAGATTATGCAGCCTTTTGATGTTTTTGTTTTGGTGTCGTCTAATGTTAGCCATAAAGTTTAGAGCAACTCCAACGTTGCGTTACTTTAGCGTTTTATAAAACGCTATAGTTTTGATAAAATTATTGTCCAACGTTGCGCTACATCTTTACATTACTTTAGGATTGTGAATAGTATTGCGGTACATCGGCGTGTTAGTATTCATTACTCTACAATTTTTTTTTTTATTTATCTTTTATTATTTTTATATTGTATGTATTTGACTTATTTTAAAATTTATAATTTGACAAAGTTGTACCAATATATTTATAGTTTAATTTTAGAATTATATGAAAATATTGTTTTTAAAAAATGTATATTTTTCTTGAATCTCTACAAAATGAATAAAGTAATGTACAAAAGTAATATTTTTTGTCTAAATACCAGACAAGCTAACAACATAATGATATTTAATTTATAAAATAATATGTCTAGTTATATAACATTTTGGCATGTCAAATAAATTAAAATAATATGAATGGTACACGTGGTGAGACCAAACTCCAAGACTGGAGTTAACTCTAAACTAGAATAGAAATAAAGGCTAAAAATGAAGACCAAACTTGATTTTTGTTTCGCTCTAATTTATAGTTGTTAAATCTTAAACTATAGTAGAGATAAAGAATTGGAGATATCCTTAATGCCTATTTCCAACCTTCATCTCTATTCTAAAGTTTACTCTACTCTATAATAGAAAAATGCAAAAATGAAGTTTCGCCATCAACATTCATCTCTATTCTAAAGTTTACTCTACTCTATAATAGAGTAATGCATTCATCTCTATTCTAAAGTTTACTCTACTCTATAATAGAGTAATGCAAAAATAAAATTTCGCCTTCAACTTCGGACTTCTCACTCCATAGAAATTATTCTCATTTTTATTCTTAGTATATTAAATTATTCTTATGGCAAAATATAATATAACTACTATACACATTTTATTATTTGAATTATCATTGAATCATTATTTTTGTAATATTTATTATACAGTAGATTATTTTTTATCAAAATATTACACCCAAAATAAAAACAAAACAAAAATGTAGAAAAAAAATGGTGTAGTATTGTGTTATAACCATGATTTTGAAAACCGAACCGGTCATTGATACGGTGAAATTACTGATCCAATAATTCATTGGTCGGACCAACGGTCGAATGAGTTTAATTAATTTACAATTTTTATGTATATAATTTATAATATATATATATTGCTATAATTAATTTTATAGTGTATAACATTTCTTTATATAATATATCATAATAGCTACAACCGATTAATATAGTGTTATACTAGTACTCATTCCGTGCATTTGCACGGAGGAGAATACGTAGAAAAGAAAACAATATAAAAAAATACATAATCATAATTTAATTCATGAAAAAAATATAGATTAAAAAAATAATTTTAAATATTATTGAACGCTTCTTTATATACAACATTCATGGTTTCATATCGGAATCACCATCACCACATTATTATAATTTCCAAACCCTTCCGATTCATAACTCTAAAAAGAGCAATGTACAATTGTCCATGACTGAAAATATGGTTCGTCAAGACTAAGCCTGCGTGTGAGAGAGACTGGTCTTAACTCTTGTTGATCGTCATAGCATAGGAGACCATGATAGAAAATGGTCTCCGTTGAAACTTGAACGATACTCTCAAACAAATATGTAATAATAAAATGTATGCCAAATTTGTTATAATTGTCATCAAATATAAACATTTTGGTCAAAATTATCTATTGAACAAATAATTGCTTTATAAACAGTTGTTGAATTGGGTTGGATAACATATTAGAAAAATATGGTGAATTGGGCATAATTTTTTATTAAAAAATAAATCTCTAAGGTGATTTTGGCCAATATTCTCAGTAAGGCTATTTGTTTAATGTGACCGGTTTGGTGAAATCCCGAAAAAATAATTTTCAAATTGAACCCAATACACATTTTTTAACAAAAAAAAAAAATAATGTAATTGCTATTGGGCCAATAGACAAATCAATATTTTTATAACAATAACAAAAAGGCTCATTATTGATGAAAGCTCATTTCCACTTTAAGGGTTTAAAAAATTCGTACCAAAAAAAGAAACACCGAAAATTATGTGTCATTCCACTCATTCTCCATTGTGCATCTCTTCTTTCTCTCTCAATAAAAATCCCAAACCTTCAGTGTTCTTGCAAAATTATCCCCGACAAAAATGCCAAATCGATGTTTGATAAGCGAGATTTTCAGTTCAATACACAAAAAGAAAAAGAACTAAACGCCAAAATTTCAAACCCAAAGGAGAAACAACAAAATGGTCTAGATTTTCAAGATCCGTTTTACTAAATTATAGTAAAACAGTGCATATCAGGCGATCACAGTACATATCTATCAATATCTGAAATTTTTCTAAAGAAATTTACCTTTTTTATTTTCTTTTTCTTTTTTTTTTCTTTTTACAAAAGTTTGTTTTAAGTTGAGCACTGAAGTTGAATCTTTCGACTATATGCCGCTTCTTAATAAATACTTCTTTATATTTTTTTCTATAAATTTTAATAGATTTATGAAGATTCAATGTTTATTGGTCAAACCATGAATAATAATTACAAAAGTTGAACACATCTACTGTTAGAGTAGTATACCCGGCGTTCCAATCTGATTGGACGTATTCTACTTGTAAATACAATCTATTGGAATTATATTAATTAAAAGGCATTACTTTATCTTAAGAGTAAGCATTTATCATATAATTGCACTTAAGATAAAATCCCTAGATCACATATGTTATAAGGTATGGTTGTGCATAGAGATGGTGATAATGGAACATACCTTGAAAGCAGTGATCTTAAATAAAGTT